AGTTTTATGCAGTTAGCTTAAAAATTAGAGTGAATCGACCCATTATAAAACTTGATGGTAAGAACATTATCTGTGTTGTGTTGGAAGTTTTTAAGTTTTTAATTTTTTAAGTGAGTTATAGCTTGTATAATAAATGTAAATTGAAAATACTCATAATTCACTTAAAAACTGAAATACAGTATGAAAACTTCCAACATAACACAGATAATGTTCTTGCCATCAAGTTTCACTCCAATTTTTAAGCTACTTGAATTTCTGAGGGTAAATTTGGTATGTTACTCGTTTGTAAGACAGAGACAACACATGCGGGTGTGGCGTCCTCTTAAAGGTAAGTATATAGATTATAATATTATTTTAGAGTCGAATCGACCGTACGAGGCTATTATTATGTAAACTACGTCATGAGCAATGGCGGTGTGAATTTTTTCTTCTAAGAAGATACTATATTTAAAATAAGTACCACGATTAAAATAATATATAATACACTGTTTACACAACTCATAATTTAGCAAAACAATATGAATTTGTGGTCCCTTCCGTTTAGGCTAAAAAATGCAAATATAACTGTTTACGACAACTATCAGTCTATTGTATACCTACCTATTCAATATTACCACGATTATAGATAAAACTATGATATTATATAGATATAACTGCGTAAAATGTTTGAATTTTTTCCACCAGGGGCGATAAGTTTAGTTCTACATAACTAATCGAGAGGGCGATTATTTTCCGATTAGTTGTAGGTATAACCTGCATTAAATATCTAAAATCGTGACAACTACTTGTCCGCCAACTATTTTTTTCAGTGTTAATGTGTGTATGGCTAACACCCGCATCGAATCCACCACCAAATGCAATTCGTAAAAGTACATAAATGTTATACTTAGGTTGTAAACGGCCAAATTGGTCTATCGTCAAGATACCCACCACTCCCACTTTTACATGCCAAGCGTCGCTTCGTGAAATAGCTGTTCACGCCGCCACTGCAGAGGTGCAAGCAATTATTGTTTTGTAGCAGAAAGAAAAAGCAGACGGTGATAAAAAATATAATAATATTATTATGGTAGGCATAGATTATAATATTATTATTTTCACTTCGTTCGCCGTTTATGAACTCACTACATTATGTTGGCGTAGGACTCGAAATGTCCGTACTCGGAGTTCGGGTTGCTTTCGAGCAGGTCGTTAATGAGGTTTGTGTATGACAGTTGAGTTTGGTTCTTGTTTAACAGTTTAGAGTTGTTTGTGTCTGTATCGTCGGTAGAACTGCTGGAAGTGTCATCGTCATCATTTTTCCTGTAATAATTAGTGTTATATAATATCACGCTACGTTAGCTGACAACAAATTTAAAAAAAACAATAATACCTACTACGTCAAAATTTCAAGTCCTAACAAATATTTTTAAATTACTACAAAATACCTAACTAAAATCGTTATTATTTGATTAAATCAGGGCTTGAGATTTTAAAATACAAATTTTTGATTTTATTATCAATTTCGATTAATGAAAAGTGTTAGATTTTTTTGGACAATAATATTGGTTTGGTTGTGTTAATATACCTCAATTTTTCAATAATAAATACCACTTTTACATATTTTGTAATCAAATATTGCTGTATTATTTTAAATGATGATAAATTCAAAATTGATTTGTTATACAAACCATAAAACGATTATTATTTTGATAGATAGATACCTATATAAAATCATCGTTTTTAATTTTCTTATCCATTTCAGTATAAATTATAAATGTTGAATACTATTAACAAACATTTTCGATTTTAATATTACCGGTTTAAAAGATTTTTAATGATTATTTTACCAATATTTAAAATTGATTCAAGACTTGGTTTAAATATTTAATTTTGTTAAAATTTGAACTTCAATGACTCATAAAAAATAATCGTGCATAATATGAAATTTTTAGATTTTTGAATTGCAATTTTTATAACAGCTTATGTAGAATCTTATAAAAACTTTTTATGCTTTTTGACGAAGATTAAATATTTTTATCATCACTTAAATAATATATTCTTATTATCTATGTCCATATGTCTATATCTAATAATCATCCCCTAATCCCTTCATTAGAATTGTAACATATTGTGTGTATGATTATTTTTTAATTGAACAAAGACTTAAATTAATTTATAGAATAACATTTAATTTGTATGTGGACATGTATTAGGTAAGATGTTTATTATTATGAATTATATAAAAGTTATTAGATTGTATTCGATACTTACATTAGACGGTTCATCGAGTCAATAAATGCTTCCGTATCCACCATATCCATACTCAAGTTTTTTAGAAAATCCTCCATTTCTTCGACAATTTAAAAAACTTATTAAGTTATAAAAATGTTAGGTAAAGAAAAAACAACGTTTTATCGACGTTTCTTTTAATATAGTTCAGTTGCCATGCAAATATATATAGCCAATCATAAATTAAATACATTTGTTTGAAACATAATAATAAATAATAATATCTAAGTAATTATATTCAGTGGTTCAATAAACGACACATCTCGGTACTTAAAAATTAAAACTTAGTTAAAAGTATAGAAAAAACGAAATAAAATAACTATTGTATTTAAGCAATCGTATTTCGAAGTATATTATAGATAGCATAGCATAGTATACAAGTATAAAACATTCATCTATTAAGTGTCAAACGTTTTAACTAAAACTACTTATTAAGAATTTAACGTTATTTTAAATAGTGTAATTTATTTATTGGAATTTTGAGAGAAATATTTGCTGTCAATAATATTAAAAGTCTGTGAGTTAAATTGACTAATTAAATTTTTTCGTCACGACAAAATGAGTTTTCTGTTAATAAATTAGTTTTAGAATTTTAAGTTATAACACTACATATCAGCTATGTACCTAATAGTATATTTAATTTTAATTTTATTTGCATTATTAGTGTGGCCGGTCGCACTGTCCAGTCCCGACGACGCTGTGGTATACAACACACCTAATGTTATTGTTTTATAAATTATATTATAACTACTTAAATATAAGTGACCAAAGTATGTGCAAATAATGTTAATTTAAATGATACTATATTATTTAAATAAAAATTAATACACTCATATAATCCACATTATTTGATAAAACTTTAAAGAATAAATAGCTTTTTTTATATAATAATATGTACCTATATAAAATATAAATATTAACAAGGTTATGAACAATATTATATATATCAAACAAGCAGCAAGTACTTTGAAAAGAGTTATTTTAATCGTTTACCTATTATTTATCACATTCACGATTCATTTAAGTTTACTTGTTACTGATTTCTCAAAACACAGTCTTATTAAATAATAATATAGCGTTATAATTAGTTGGGTATAATATTATGTTTAATGTACCTAGTATATGAGTATTATACAAAGGTATTTCATTTGATAACGAGAGAATGCATTAAACATGTTATTATATTATCGATTGTATGTCTTCAACATAAAAGGCAAGTAGAGCAAATAAATCTTTTAGAGAATAGTCATTAATGTGCTTTCAAAGGATCTCCTCCATTTTTTGACTTGGACTGCTGCTGCTGGTAATTTTATCGATTTCAAGCCACCGAACTTGAATTGTGAAGCAGGCGGTAAATTAAATACCAAACTTAAGTCTTTTGAGTTTATATTTTTGGGGGAACGCGGATGAGAGTACAATTTGAATTGTAACTATACAATACTAATATTATGTTCTACTAATTTATTTTTGTGTATTACTTGGAGTTTAAACATTTGTCATCGAGATTGCTACATTTGACGCTGACCGATTTGAGTAAGTACTCGAGTGGAAGGATAACGGGTTCACATTTCATTCATTGCGCAATATTGAATACACGAAAATAACGATTATAATTTGATTTAATGATATAATATATTATTTTATTATATAAATAGTTGTAATAATTTATAATGATCAATATAATATAATAGTTAATAAATGCAAAGTATAACCAAACCGTGCACAAAGCGAATATAATATTTTTCAATACAATTTGGTTATAATATACTATAAATCAAACCAGAACAATAAAATCTATTTTACGACAATAACACTTTGACAAAAATATAAAAACATAATAATATTATATAAATTTTTCTTTTTATTAACAAACATTAACACGTATAACTCGTCCCTGAGGGACAATGGAGCGGCGATAAGAACCGTTTTTTATTATGGTTGGTTAACAGTTTACCAATAGTTTATAGTAGGTAGATAATAATAACTATGATAGTTTTCGATTAACATTAGGTATTAGATTGGACGTATATATTATGGTATTATAATATGTTAATATAAACAAGTCTGGACATTAGTTAATCAGTTTTTTAGTTTTAATCTCGTTCATTTAATACTGCGAATATCGAATAACTGCACAATATTATGTATTTGGTTAATTATAGATAATAATAAGATCATAGTAAAAAGACAAAATAAAGATTTAAGATAATATATTAGTCGTCGTTTGACTTACGGGTTACGTTAAACAAAAAATATTACGATTAGTAAACATTCATAGGTAGGTACTTATAGGTAACATTCTATAATATACTCTATGGAAATAACATTAACGAAAAAGTATAGTTCGTTACATATAAAGTGTTAATATTATTCAGATTAACTGACTTTAAAAAAAAAAAAAATTAATGCCCAGACTTTTATGTATAAATATTAGATATCAGATATATATATGTATATGGTGTGCTTTAATCAGAAGTGCGCACACATAATATTCCAGTAGAATTATTTTTCTCGTGTATACGTAGGTAAAAGTGAGTGTCTAATAAGTTTGTGTAACGCTATATTATACTGTATTATAGACATATATAGGTAAATACGTGTATTATATATATATGTATATAATATGTACGAATGATAAGAGCAATCCGTTGGGATTATAAAGGTTCGCTGTCGTGCAATAACACTGAAGCTGTTGTTTTGTGAATGCAATGTTGATGCTGTTTTGGTAGATTTCATTTTGACTGGACTAGGTTCAAAAATTCTTCGCGTGTCTTCGAGTCGTCTCTGAACACTCCCAGCATAGTAGACGTGACGGTTTTGCTGTTTATCTTTTGTACGCCTCTCATGACCATGCACATGTGCCTGATAAATATATAGAAAGAAAAAAAACAATTATCACGCCATTCTTCAACCGGGTACCTGTTCTATTATGATGCACTTGGCTATTGGCGATGTTTACATTATTATTATTATAACTATTATATAAGATACATTATAATGGACTTGCATAGAGTATAATATATGCTGTGAAGGTGTAGAGCGGAAGCAGTATGAAATGTCTCGAACTCCTCTCCTTCACCTTACGCATACAAATCCTAGTGCTTTGAACGCAACCGCCGGCAGCATAATTTTAGAAATATTGCACTTGTTTTTTTTTTTTTAATAGATTTCTTGTTTTTTGTTTTAGTTCAATATTTCAATTATTATTTTTTTTTATGAATTTCGACGAACTGATGTTGCACTACGCCAGTCTGTTAAAGTATCTCATTATATTATTATCTATTATCTAATAACTCACTCTGCCCACTTGTTGTTTTTTAAGCGACCAACGACGATGACATAATATTATCGTCTATTCATATCAGTGTTTAAAATAGAAATAGGCACTTCGATAATACCTAATAATTTTCCCGAAACGGGTGGCTTTGTATAAAAAATTTTTTTTTTTTTCATTTTCTTGGTGAATATAATGATATTGTATGCATATACCCATAACTCCGTTGATACCTATACTGCTATACGGAATTTTGTGTTTCGAATAACAACTACATTGTTACGATTTATTTATTAATTTGTAACAGTTTTTAAAAGCGCTTACCAAAAATATTTTTTAATGTAACCAACGAGAGAACATATTATGTTTAAATGGCCAAAGCACGTTTTTCACTAACAATAACTGGAATGAAATTTAGTGTTTACATATGTATACCCAAAGTTTATTTTATATAGTGTGGTATAAGTATGGTAAAAGTCATTATAAATTAAAATTATTGAATACCAATTATGCCTACCTAATTCGAAAGTCAATAAACTTGATTTGACATGATAAAACATATTTACACCAGTTTACGACCTGTGATATTCTTATTATACAGACCGTCAAGTTATACAAGTCGTTTACAAGTAGTAAACTAAATTATTAAATTATTAAAATCAATTCTGATGATCTGTAAACACTGAAACTCTTATAGCTTTCATAATAAATCTCAAAAAGACACAGTATAAGTGTACCTAAACATCAAAGTTGAAAAACTTCTGAAGTCCAATCTTAATCCTTGAGGTATATTATACCTACCGTTACTTTGAATATAATGTCATAATATTATCGGTTAAGATACATAATGGATATTTTATCCAACGGTAAATTGTTTCATTTTAAAAGCAATTAAGTAATGTACTTATATAGATTTATTTAGATGTAAATTGTAATTACATTTTTTTTCCCAGTAATTTAACGTGAAAAAATAACGTAAATTCGTTAAATGTTATAAATTTGGTAACATAATAGATATAATAACATGTTCAGAAACATTTATTTCATAAATTTATAATGACGTATTTGGTTATTTTTATTGTGTCTACTGTTCACCTATAAAGTGTTTTTTGTTTTGCAACTAGCCAGGAAAATATCTGTAATCGGAGAAACCATGGTGTATTAAAAAGAATTTGAATTTTAACTAAGTAAATTAAGATTACATTTTTAACTTCATATAATATATTGGTTTGATACGTCTTCTTTCTAGATAGAATTATAAATAAGAATAAAATAGTTTTAAAGTGAGATAGGGACTTGTGTGAACATCCGTTTGAAAAGGATTAATAATCGATATTGATTTTACCTATGGCCAATATTATATAAATTAAATTCAGAAAATACAATTGTATATTATGACTGTTTGAAAATAGTCTAAACCGAAATACGTAATTTATATTTGTATTTTCCTTACATGAAATATTTTACATCTACCATTATATTGTTATGCTGTAAATATTAACCTTGTGAAAACATTTCATTTTAGAGGATAACATTTATTTTTATTTTTTTTTTTAAAGCCAGTTAATTCTTATACCTGTTAATTTACCAGGCTTACATCTCTGTATTTATTCAAGTAAATTAATCCCTGAATTTAATTAACTGACTTAGATTTTATTATGAATAACGCCCAAATGGTGCGGTACTACGGTGAAACTTTTTAATATTTCCTATTTTATTTTTAAGCGTTGCACCTCAAGTTTATGAGGTGTAATGTTCCCACCAGTTGCTTATCATGGATCATAGCAATAAATGTCTGTTTCCCCGTTCTGTTTAAATCAAACATGTACCTAAAGTCTAAGACATAACCGTACACTATTATGACTTGCTATTGAAAATACTTTACCCCATTTATAAATTTATAGCAACATTACCGTAGATATAAAAGTTACTCGAAAACAAAATTTAACTTACACTCCTTCTATGACCACGGCAACTCCAGCAGGTTGAATCGCTTGGGTGACGGCCACAGCAATCTGTTTAGTTAATCGCTCTTGAACTAAATCACAGATATAAAAAAGAATACGATGGTAAAATTCTTAAACTAATGTATTTAACTGATTGTGCCAAGCAACATCAAATTGTTCCCTAATAGTTTTTAATTAAATAAAAAAATGTCAACCCATCGACTAGTCAATATATATATTGTTTTTGAGGGTAGGCTTTTTTATCTAAATATCAAACAAAAAAATTGTAACGGAATGGGTTCCACGGTTTGATAGTTTATAACTAATTATGCATTAGTATTATATTTGAATTTATATAATTTTTCAAATAAGTTGTTGAAAACTTTTTAAATAGATTGTTCTTTCAGTAAGATCAACAGGTAACCATGTATTTATTTTACTACTAATATTTTGTTTATTCTATTAAATTGAATTATCAAGAAAAATAAATTATAAATACCACCAAAACATATATTGCATTGACTGTTTATAATTTATATTGACAAGAAGTTTAATTTTTGGTTCCCCTTGGTAATTTAATTACTTGTTAAATTTTTTCTTCTAACCATGTACAAAACATTTCAAAAATATTAAATGATTATCATAGAACAATTTAATTATTTTAATATGTTTTGACATTTAAATTACAACTATATGTTAAAATTAATCTAAAACAAACAATTATGGTTTAAAATGTTTAATGATCTTAGTGGAAAATAGAAATATACAGAGACGTATTTAGGAATTTTGAGCCCCATTTAAGAAAAAAAAAACGCCCCCCTCCTAACCTGAATTTTTTCAACAATATGTGTATTTGTATAAAAAAACACATAAAAGTGAAACCACTGCATTCTTCGCTACACTCATAATCGGAAAGGTATATTACTTACCTATACATAAAACAATACATTTATATCGAAGCAAATATTACATAATTATAGTAGGTATATTTATTATTAATTCTACAAAAAACCTCAATGTAGGTTAATTGACAACATTTCAAAAAGAACATTATAGCGATATATGTTAAAATTCAAAACATTTACGTAATGCTTTTTCATAAGCAAAGGTATCAATTAATTAGCACAAATCTTTTAACAATGTTCCATAAAATATGATGATAATCATAATATTATTATGAGCACAATATCTATAATAATGTTTATGAATTTGCTATTACGAACCATAGATAATAGATTTTAGATTACCAGATAATAGATTATTATCACTGGGCACGACCATTTAGTGGTCCACCGTGTTTCCTGGATTATATCTTTAATCGTGGTTTGTATACATGTCGACGGCCATATACCTAATGAGCCCATCTAATATCTTATCAGTTTCCATTTAGCTTTCATCTACTCTGTGTCACACTGTCACTCCATTCTCAAACTATAATATTATATTTTTCTATGTCTCAGTAGGTATTATCAATGCATGTTTCGTGACAAACCGAAACGAAAAATCATAGTAATAATTGTATTAGTATAATTACTTTTTTTATCACCAAAATAACCTACCGTATTATATAAAAATGCTTTCCATAATTTACCGACCCTGTGATCTGATCGCCCGGGGCTCAAGGCACCCCTGCCTCCCCTAAATACGTCACTGGAAATATAGTAATATGTATTATTGTAATTTATCTGGTTCTATAGTTTGTTATGTTATGACATTCTCATAATCCGATTAGATTAGACCTTATCCGCTGAGTTAATGGTCTATCTAGAAATTATAGTTTTTATTATTCTAGATATTTAAGTTTTATTTAATGACTAAATATATTTTACTATTAATATTTATCTATATAATCCGATAAAAATCATATATTTATATATTATTCTTATAATTATGTATGTTTTTAAAACTTTAAATTGCTACGTTTTATGTTTAACCTAGAAACATCATTCAACCATCATTATATTAGAAAAAAATTTAATTAAATAATTGGTTTCCAATTTAAAGTTGTGTGACGAGCAAAGTTAGTACAACAATAGTTTCGAAAACTTTATTAATAATAACCAACAGTCGCAAAAATACACTTTTTGTCCGTCTAATAAATACCATATATAAACAGTATTAGTGGTATTATTATGTGCATAGTAATAATATCTGTATATTATTACTATGCAGTAATATTACCAGTATCTTATTGGTTTTTACCTTGAAGTCTTCTGCTGAACATCTCCACGATGCGTGCGAGTTTGCTGAGGCCCAAAATTTTGTTTTTCGGCAAATATCCAATCGAAACTTTTCCGTAAAACGGAACCAAGTGGTGTTCACACATACTAAACATTTCAATGTCCTTCACTACAACCATTTCATCGTGATCCTCGTCAAATACCGCATCGTTAAGAACGTCTAAAAACACATACATTTAATAATATAAATACTGAAAAATTATAAAAAAAAATATTTTTAATACGAAAATAGTGACATAATGTTTATAATTTTCCACTTGGAGTATTTGGACGTATAAATCATAATATAACTTGAAAGGTAATTTTAAACATTCTCAGCATATAATTACTTATTTTGTTCAGTACGACCAATGCCATTTTACTTAATAAAAACATGAATTTATTATAAAATTAACTCCCAAGCATATTAAATATTTTACGGTGATTTGTATAAGAGATTTTTTTTTGTTTTGGGTGAAGGCAATACACAAGGACTCTCCCCGAAAATATGTCTTTTTAGTTAAACAATGGTACATTTTTTAAGTAATTTCTAATAATATTTACGAATTTCTACTGGCTTAAAAATGTTTTGATTTATTAATAATTTATATAATATAATATATTTTACTATAAATGTCATTATGACGTTATATATTCTAAAATATACTCCCTAATGAATTCCTAGTCGTCATTCGTCAATTATCCGGTTGGTGCAGTTAAAAATACTACTTTTAAATTATGAATTTATTAATATAAAGTATGCATGTACATTTTACAAGTATATACGAGTATGTTTAAATTTGCTCTTCTTACGACGTTTATAAATTGCACAATATTATGAAAAATAATTTATTGTACTCGGATCACGTTAAAAATCATTTACACAAGACATTGGCAATACAAATATTATTACAATATCTTTTATTGGCGTTTTAAGATGTGACTTTAACAATGACGTCGTATAATAATAGCTACATTATAAAAACTTGTGCAAAGCTCATCTCCACTACTGTTGATTTCATGCAAAAGGTATTAATTGTGAAATGAATACAAACCATGATAAATTAACGATGCATTGTAACTTTTTCAGTACAGCTGATAACCGTAGTCTAGCATAATGTTCTAATTTAATTATATTTCGCGAAAACAGATGTTTATTTCGAACTGTACCAAATGGAAAATATTCCATGAATAGTTAATTCGCCTGTTGGGCTTTATACATTATTACATGTTGTCTCTGTCATTACGCGTGTTGTCTCCTATGACTAACGCTCACAACGTAGCAAATTTTACGTTTACGGTAATCTATATAACATATACTGATGTGTAATTTTTTAATATTATATAGTGAATTGACTTATTATTAAATATAATATTATCTAAAGCATCGGGCTTATAACTATATTTTAATTTGTTGGCACATTTTCGAACATTTCACATTTCCTTGCTTTAAAATCAAAATATAAAATATAATCGATACGTGGAGCTCAAGATTCTTGCCTTTAAATTTGTCACCAAAGTGAATTGATTCACTCTAATATTAAAAATAATAACACAGGTAAACCGCATTATTCTGAACGCAAAGTTGACCACTCTCGGTGTTTTTGAGACACACGGGGTACAACGTAGTCCTCTTAACGTTAGATTGCAGGTGGGTATTACAATTTAATCCGAAATCAGTAAAGCCATTATACTCTCGGGAACCGCTAGTGATTAGAGGTAAATAATATACGTGACCTGGAATTATACGATACTGAGAAGTTCGGACTTGTCGGAATATTAAAAGTTTGTAGTTAGATGAACTGTACAGGTATCTATACGACTATACTGTATATTAAAATAAAGCCGAGGTGTATTTATGGAGGTTGATGTTAATATAGGAATGGCCACCCCTTGAGTGAAATTTATCAATATATACATTTTTACACCTTAATAATTTTAACTAGGTATGATGAAATAAAGTATTTTTTTTATGTTTTTTTATGTTAAATAAAATTACATAACCCCCTCCTTTGAGAAATGTTAAACACTCCACTGACCAACATAAAAAAAAAAATTGTTCGAAAACGACGGCTGAAAATCTTTGTAACCAGATCTACACTACCGGAATATGAATTTAATTTAGTAGATCAAATCTCCCGTTTCGTTTAAAGTTTCACTATTTGAAAATTCTAAGTAGCAGTATACCAAATTAAAATATGAAGTATCTTGAGTAGAAAAACGTAGTAGGTATCTATTTAAAAATAAGAAACTGTAGTTAATAATTTTTATGTAGTGGTTTTATTTATTTTTAGCCTTGTTTGTCTATCAACAGTCGCCTCTTACTAGCTTCTAGCCGATATTTAGCCTCCAACCATTGGTGCCCTTTGTACATAGGATTTTCACTGCATTAGTTTTAAGCTCAAGCAAATCGTCTTTAGTTCCTCGGAAAATCAATAATTTTCTAAAATAAGTATTGAATTCAAAAATGCATGCCAACCAAAGATATAATATTACAGTTTTAACCATATAATTACTTGCAATCGATTTATTATGCTAGAGCCGAGCTTTATATTATGTTATTAGTTATTACGAACAGCCACGATGCAATGTTTCAATTATTAAATTGGTACATATTTAATATACAACTACGATATTAGCAATTTCAGATTACATTGAGTCTTATGTATTTAATTATGTATTTGGAAGTGATATAAAATATATGTTCCAAAATTATACCTACTTCATATCTATGATATAAATAAAAAAATACAAAAACATTGTTGGACAAATCTAATAATTTGCTTAGGTTGCGCAATATTCACTTGTTCAGAGATTCTAAACATAAAATTTATTCCAATAATTTTACATTTTATTTCAATTTTACTAACATAAATAATAATTAACGTTATGAATGATTATTGAAATTTTAAATCATGTAGGTAACTATATTATTATAGATTATCTAAGTAATGTGGTACTATATAATATGTACTATGTATAGTCATTGGGTGATACTAATATTTAAAATACAATTTTACTATTATAATATTATAGTATTATGTTGCAGCAATGCTTTTAGACGATTTATTTATTTTTATCAAATTACAATGTAATATCATGTAATATTTCCGAAAACATAAACAACATTTTTTTTTTATTAAAAATAATTAAAGCTTTAATCTGTAAATTATTTTACTAAAACAATAATAATAATAATAATAATATTATGTAACGCTTTTTAATTAAAAAAAGGAGTCAAAATATATTATTTTGTCATGTTTGAATTTAATTTGGTTTTAAGACTCGTTAATCGATTATTATTATTATTTTACTCTTAAGCATTAAAATAGATGAACAAAACATATACAATTTTTTTTTCAAAAAACTAAATATTATTTACTATAAAAACAGATTAATGTTATTAAGAGAACTACTTTCTATACACTAACGGGCTTTTGGTATAAAGTTTTAGTAATAACCATATTATCTGTGCACTGAAAAAAAAAACAATTGTCCCTCGGTTTCATTATACAGATTAACATGGCGGATATACGTGATTACTGTTTTGGAGTACACCTACAACCTATTCTACGTCAAATGTCATCGTCAGATAACGCGTTTGAAGATGCGCCCAGAAAAGGTAATTGGTACCCTTTGTGCGAACACACAAAGCCAGCAACGAGAAAACGAGAAAATGATTAAAATATGAAATCTATAAAATACAAGAGATGCCGATTAGAATGCACTGCAAAATATTAAAAGCATATTTTAATAAACCCACGTAGGTAGTGTTTAAATTCGAGTATGTCCACTGTGAAAGTACGGAAACAACGAAATATTATATTTTATAGTAAATAAAAATCAAAAAACTAACACGAAATTGGGTATTGCACAAAATGTATACACTATACGTATGCACTTAAATAAATTAGTATAACATAATATACAGGTTGGTAGGTACCTACCCATTTAAAATATTATGGTAAGCAGATATCCTTCAATAGTAAGTGTAGTCTTAAAACATTTTTTATTGAATGCTTATGATATTTTAAGAGAAATAATGCCATAATATGATATAATATTACCTACGATACTGTTGATATGACCGATTGATTTCAATCAATTACAATTATCCGTTGATACAAAACTGATAATTAATAAAAAAAAAAAAACTTGTTTGATAATAATCAAAAAATAACGATGCTTACTGATTACAATATCCTCACAATTATTGGCTCGTTATAAAAGTAATATGTACGTAATATAATATCGTTAATACAAATCGCCCCTCCGATACCCGCTCCATATTATATATTTTTAAAGTGGACAGGGAAAAGGGGTATGGCGTTCAATCAGAACGTCGACAACCACTTGTAACCGGACCAGTATTGTACAATACCTCAAAAGTACGATGATTTAAAAGCTTTTCCATCCCGTTACAGAAATGACGGCAATTTTCAATTTGCTGTTGCCAAGGTAACAATGCGTAGACGGTTTATCAGTATTATCGGGTCGATATATTGTACGTATATTATTTAAAAAAATACTTAAGGACCAATAAAATATACAGCCCTACAGCGTAATCGCTGTCGTACAAGTAATATTGTATTCTAGTAGGTTTTTCTCTTAAAACGTCTATTTGATATTTTTAAATTGACAACTCCTCAGTATCGCTGATAAATCATAATAATACAGTGTACGAAATTACTTAATTTACCGTTTAACGGTAATCGGTAATGTAATATAATAGTGCACGCTCCGTAAATGATTTTGAGCTCTCAAGTATTAGACATTTTACACAATAATGTCCAACTCACACGTGTCCTATTGAACATTATTATGCGATATAGCCCGAAGTGTTACATTGATTTTTATGTAATGAAAATTCAAAGAAGAACATTGACGATAAAATGAATTGACATACTTCCCGAGGCATTTCCCAGTACCTTTATTGTTTTAGAGCATAGAATGAGCGAAGGACACACAGACACTCACACACATACACATAATACGTATAATAAAATAGTATATAATATTAAGTATTTAATTATTTTCAGTAGAAGGTGGAAGTTAATAACCTTAAGAATACAAAAATGCATAATGCATATTATGCATATAGACGTGTTGTTGTAGGTATATCATAAACACTGTTGGCTCAAACGATAGTAAAGTTTTAATTTTTAAATATTATTTTTATAT